AATGATGTGGTGTATGGTGAGAATTCAGCAAAGGTATGCAGTCATGTTCTGGTACCTCGTGTAGTGATTGATACGCTGTTCATATGTTGGAAGCAGGTCTGGCGGAGAATTCCGGATATTGGAATTGGGTTCTGAGCTTATTTGTTTGAATAACAGAGAATATCTTCAGATTTGATCAAGTTATGTGCTCAACTGAACTGTGGTAGCACGGGTAGGTGCTCAAAGCATTAAACAGTGATTTCAGACAACTCCGGTGCAGTTCTCAGCACGTTCGAGGACGAACATATGTTTAAGTGGGAGAGAATGTAACGACCCGATCGGTTGTTTAGAGCTCTAGCGCGTCGTTCAGCAATTTGAGGTCATGAGCAGCTTCACTTCAGGCATTATGACTTGTACGCATGGTCGAAATTGAATTCCGGGAAGTTCGGAGTTGATTTGGAAAGAGAATTCTCATTTCGGAAGCTTTAAGTTGAAAGAATTGACTAAGATTGGGTTTTTGAGTAAACGACCTCAGAATCAGGATTTGAAGCTTCCAGCAGGTTCGTATGATGATTTTGGACTTGGGCGTATGTCCGGATCGGGTTTTGGAAGACCCGGGAATGTTTCGGCACCAATTGTGGAAGTTAGCATTTTGGAAGAATTTCATAAATTTAGGTTGAAGTGCATTTCCGTGTTATCAATATCCTTTTGGGATTCCGAGTCTGTAAATAGCTCCGTATGGTGATTCCGGTATTGGGAGCGCGATCGGAAGTGAATTCGGAGGTCTGTAGGTCGTTTTGTAGTCATTTGGCTAAAGATAGAAATTTGAAGGTTTTCGAGAAGTTTGATCGGAAGCGGACCTTTTGATAACGGGGTCGAATTCCGAATCCGGAAGTTGGAGTAGGTCCGTAATGTCGAATATGACTTGTGTGCAAAATTTGAGGTCAATCGGACGTGATTTTATAGGTTTCAGCATCGAATGTAGAAGTTTGAAGTTCTAAAGTTCATAAAGTTGGAACTGGGGTGTGATTCGTGATTTCGGCGTTGTTTAATGTGATTTGAGGCCTCGAGCAGGTCCGCATTATGTTTTGGGACTGGTTGGCATGATTGGTTGGGGTTCCGGAGGCCTCGGGTGGATTCCGGTTGGTTAACGGATCGAATTGGAATTTGGAGGAAGAGCTGAAGATGCTGTCTGCTGGTGTAACCGTACCTGCGAGACTTGGGCCGCAGGTGCGGAGCCGCAGAAGCGACCTTTGTGTCGCAGGAGCAGAAATGGGCCGGCTAGGCTGGGACCGCATGTGCGTGGAATTTGACCGCATCTGCGCAAGCGTAGAAGCGAGATGGAGGACCGCAGAAGTGGTGATTAGCGCAGGTGCGATGGAGGCTCCGCAGATGCGGACTCGCAGAAGCGGCAAGGTGTGCGCTGGTGCGAAAGTTGCTGGGCAGAATTCATTAAATAGCGGGGTTTGGCCATTTTGCTCATTTCTTCTCTATTTTGGGGGCGATTTTGGGGCTTCTTGAGAGGGGCTTCCACCTAGCAACTCGGAAGTAAGTTTATCCTACCTATTTTGAGTTATATACATTGATAATGTGTAGATTTTAACATGGAAATTAATGGAAAACTTGGGGTTTTGGTGGAAAGACCTAGAAAGTGTATTTTTGGATTTTGACCACGATTTTGGACATGAAATAGAGAGTAAATTATATATTTGAGTTCGTGAGGTTATGGGTAAACTTTATCTTCGAAAAATTTCGAAATCCGGGAACGTGGGCCCGAGGGCATTTTTGTCAACTTTTCAATCGGGATTACGAATTGTTATAAATTGGATTGTTATGAGTAATTGAATATATATTAATGGAATTGCATAATTATTGGCTAGTTTTGAAGCGTTGTGCATCAATTTGAGTTTTCGGAAGGGCGTGGAATGCCGGTTATGGAACTTCGGGGCGAGGTGAGTCTCCTTTCGAACCTTGTACGAGGGAATTGTCCCCATAGGTGAATTAATTGAATATGTGCTGCTAATTGTGAGGGCTAAGTACGCACGAGGTGACGAGAGTCCGTGCGTAGCTACTATTATGCTTATGTCCGGGTAGTCTAGGACCCAGAAACATGCTTACTAGTAATAAATGCAACCTTGTTGACAAATTTAAAAATGCTTAAGCATATCGAACGTGTAAATGAATTTCTAAAAGACTAGATATCATTTCCTAACTTTTAAAAGAGAAACTTGCCTTTTCCTGAATAATTGCTCCTTGATGAATTATTGACTTGACTATTTAAATGTGTTTATCTATTGTGGAACGGGCCGAACGCCTCGGTAGATTAAATAGATGTATCTATGGTTCGTGCCATTCGATTCTCTGGCAGTGCACAGTTTATATATTTTTGGATCGTGCCGTACGACCTCGCCATGATTTTCGCATGCTTGTATTGCTTGCCTTGAAATTTATTGAAGTTGATATTGTTCCTTCCCGGCTTGAGAATATATGTGTATAAATGATAAAAAAAGGGAAATTTGGGAATTTCACATAAAAGAAAGAATTGTTTACTTGCTTCATTCTATTGAATTATAATCATGTCATATAAATCCTCGATTTGTCATATTGTTAATGTATCATTATTGGACCACTAGTAAGTGTCAAAGTCGATCTCTCGTCTCTAGTTCTTCAAGATTAGGCAGGATACTTACTGAGTACATGTTGTTTTCGTACTCATGCTACACTTGCTGTGCATTTTTGTTGCACAGGCACATGTATCTCTAGCGGCCTGGTGGGCGTAGCAACATGGTTGATACAGAGACTTAGGTGAGCTGCACTTCCCGGGACGACCCACAGTCAGCAGAGTCTCCTTCAGAGGATTGTACTGTATTATTACTTCTGTCCACCTTGTATCCCGGACAGTTACTGTATTTTATTTCATTCCCTAGTAAATGCTCATGTACTTGTGACACCGGGTTCTGGGATGTCTGTGAGATTATTCTGTATTTTGAAATTGTTAAAGATATTAGTATTCATTCAGTGGAACTTATTATTTATTGTTTAAATGTATAAAAGAAGTGATTCCGGAAATATTTAAAACGAGGAATCTCTAGTTAAATAGTGTTGGCTTGTCTGACAGTGGTGTCCAGCGCCATCACGACCCTTAATGGATTTTGGGTCGTGAGATAATCGAAATGTGATTATTTATTTATTTCAGAGTCGCCACTTGGAATAATTTATGGTGTCCCAAGTCGCCGGTTTATTTTTAATCCCAAATAAAGGAAATTGACTCTTATTTATGGTCCGCGAACACAGAAGACCGGGTAAGGAATTCTGTTAACCTGGGAGAAGGTGTTAGGCATTCCCGGATTCCGTGGTTTTAGCACGGTCGCTTTAATCATATCTGGCTTAATTAAATATCTAATTACACATTTTAGAACCTATGTACATTTTACCTTTTACCGCTTTTAATTACTTGCTTATTTGTGATTATGAAATTATCTTGAAACAAATCACGCGTACGTGTATTCGTTTTGTTTTGTGTGTTAAGAATCATGTCACGCATACGTATACACAATTAATAGCACTTTATTATTATTATTAAGGTTGTTTCAACAAAGTTGCGCGAACGCATACCTTGGTTTTAATTTTGAAAATCGTAATTATGTCACGCGAACGTATTACCAATCACGATAATAAAGTAAATGCGCGCCTAAAAGCATTTCTAACGATGTGAATCATCTAAGAATTATTTATGGAAGGAATGTGGGAGGGCTTGTCTTGAATTAGACATGCTAAATCACAAGATTATGTGTACATTTACAGAAAAGAAAAACTATTTAATATCTATGTATTTATTGTTACCACTGGAGGGTTTGTCTTGAATTAGACATGCTAAATCACAAGATCATAGTAACAGGAATCAATTAGCTTGAGAAAAAAACAAGCAATTTGCAGTCAAATAGCCCAAGAGTATCCGTGAAAATTCACTATAGAATATCAAGAACGGGACAGTATACGCGTATATAGAAGCTCATTCCAAGTGTCAGGCAATCCCGGGAGGCACCAATGTATACAATCACAAGGTTTTGGGATTAGACTAAGCTCTCACATTTATTCAAGATTTAAAAACTAAGATTACAACTTATCAGAAGAAAACAAATATTGAGTTTAACTAAATAATTGTAAAGAAAGATGGAGAATGAACCTCAACTGAAACAACGAAAAAACCTCGTTTGAACCTCACGCAGAGGATGTTCGGAGACCTCGACTCAACTCTTGTCGCTGCCGGAAAAGGGTCTGCCAAATCTGAAAGTTTCCGGCCAAACTCTAGCGGGAAGGGTTGATCTCTCTAACCAGTGGAGTCTGCCGAAGATAGGAGAGAGGGGACGATGGGAATTTTTTGTGGGGGGTTGGGGGAGGGGGTGGGGGTAGAGGGGGGTCCTGCTAGGTTAGAGATTAACGGTGGTAGCTGCTAGGTGGAGGGAAATGTCAGTTCTCTATTGGGGGTGGTCTGCTACTGCTCGTTGCTCTCCAAGATTGAGAGAGGCCATCCAGTCCCAAAAGAGTCTGCCGTTGAAGGTTTTTCTCTATCCAGGTGGGGTGCTGGCCCTTTTTTTTAAGAATGAGGAGATGTAGGGTCTTTAGGGTTTTTGGGGTGGGGAGTTAATGTAGAAATTGTACGGAGAGACCTATTTGGTCGCCCCCGTTTAAGTTATACTCATATTTTTAAAATTCTTTAACCTATACCCTAATTTTTACAACTTCAGACGCCTTCTCTTCTTCCTCCTGACTTATGCGCTCCTTTTTTCCTCCTCTTCTATTCCTCTTCTTCTTTTCTCTTTCTTTTTTTCTCTCTCAAACACATGGAACTCGCATTACATGGAACATAAGCATTCTGAAGATGATTTCTCTTAGTACAGCAAAATGCATTTCTAATGGCATCCACGAAGCTAAAGCTTGTTCAAGTTCAATTTGAATCTGTTTTTGCTTTTATATTTCCCTGTCTAAATGTCTGCAAATCACTGAGGCGATTCGATCAGAGTGGAGGATGGATCAAAGCACTGTTAGTCATGAGAGGATGCATCTCATGACTTTCATGGAAGTAGCCAAGCCTAATTGGTACGTCCCTGCTATTGCCATTGATTCCTACACTGAGTTCCTCAAGGAATTGGACAAGGGTAATATTGAGAACGTCCGTGCTCCTGCTATTGCCATTGATTTCAAGGCTTAAGTTATATTTTAAAGCCATCTAACTTCAAAGAAAGACAGAATAGAACTTCAGCTCTAAGAATGCTGAAGTTCAGCAATATAAACAAAAACTTCAGCTCCTAGAATGTTGAAGCTCAGCAAATATAAACAAAAACTTCAGCTCCTAGAATGCTGAAGTTCAGCAAATATAAAACAAAACTTCAGCTCCTAGAATGCTGAAGTTCAGCAATTACAAAACAAAAACTTCAGCCAAAACATGTTGTAGTTTTATTGAACTGAAGTTTGTCATTGCACTATGAACTGAAGTTTGTGTGATTGCCTTTGCAAGTCAGGTCAAACTTCAGGCAAAAATGTCTGAAGTTTTGCTTTGATCAAACTTCAGACATAAATTTTTGCCACTTCAAGCCCGTATGTCTGTAGTTACCCAAAAAAGTCGGTACGCTTGCAATTTTTTTGTGCAAAGCAGGTATAAGTTAAAAGGTGACCCAAAAACTAGGTATAGATGCAAATGCCCCGGAATTAATTGTGGCCCTTGGATAAGTTTGAGTGAATGGCTAAGATTAAAAATAGGAATTGGGTTGTGATAGAATATAAGGGTCTACCAAACTCTATAGAGAACGAAGTTCTCTATCAGGTCCAATAGTACACACACACACACACACACACACAAAAGTAATTAAATGGCAAGAGGAAATTTACGTGGAAAATTCCCAGCTCAACGAGATTAAAAACCATGACCTACCCATGTAGGATTTCAACTTTACTACTGAGCAACTTTTAGATTACAACCTATACAACCTAGGAATTAAACTCTTAGTCCCTCACTAACTTGTAACACACCTGTTACAAGCTACTTTGCAATAACTCTATTACAAAGACTTTGAAACTTGACTAACTCTAGCCAAGACTTAAACACGCAGGTTTAAGGTTTACAAATGGGTTCCTATAGAATGCTTCTAAACAAGCTAGATAGGAAATACAGTTAAAGAACTTTTACAAAGTTACAACTCAACTAAGGACATGCAATAAATCTATGTGGGAGCTGATCCGTAGTTATTTTGTTCTTTGTTCTTGAAGCACATGAAACTTGCTTATTGGATAGTCACGTGAGTGAGCTTGAGTGAAATCTATAAGTGTTCAAGTGTTTTGGTTTTCCTCCCTTGAATGCATATATACATGTGTGACATCACATGTAATGGATCAAGCAAGGTAGGTAAAAAGTCTTCCTTGGAAAGTTGACTACAGCACTGTTCCTGCACTGTAGCGTGTGCAAGCAGCAACTTTCCAGCTGCAGAGTTGACTTCGTACAGTCTCCTCGGGAACTGGTAGGGACCTGGTCCCTCAACTGTTCCTTCCACTCTGAGGAGTTGAATCATATTCCATGCTGAATTCCAACCTGGAACCTTGTGATCTTGAGGTCTTGTAAATGTGTAACATGTTCCTTATCTGGTTCTGGATGGTAAGTTTGTTAGATCATCAAAACATAAAGTAAAGTACTTATAACCAAAGTACTTGTATCCTATCAATTTTCCCCTTTTTGATGATGACAAACTTATAATTGAAAATCCTAGAAAAAGCCATAAAGAACCAAATTGTGAACCAGAAAGACCTTAAGTCCCTATTAAGCTCTGCATTCCCCCTTAGTTAGTGCAATTATTTTTCCCCCTTTTGGCATCATAAAAAAGAGCAGAAACAGTTTAGCAAGAAAAAAGTCTAGTTTTAAGTTAACTCATGCCACATATGTGCACACAGTCTTGATTAAGAACAGAGCATACGAGCACAGTACAAACAACAACAAGGGAAAAGCTTGCATTAACAAAGTTTTGGATTTTAGAGTAGGAGCAGAATCAATGTTACTACCACATCCACACAGTAGAACAAACAATAAAATTACCACAAGTTGTCACCATAAGAACTAACATGGAGAGACTGGACACTGAGGGGACAGAATCCAGGAAGTACTGGGAGGAGAGGTTTGGAAGCAGAGGAAATTGTTTGGAGGACTAGATCCATCCGAGCATTCGCTGACATTTGCTCATTGAGCAGTCTTTCTTTCAGGTTCTCCACTTGTTTCCTGAGCTCAGTGTTCTCCTTTGTCAGGCTAGCAACCTCTTCGTTCTGAGAATGACTGGAACCAGGTGCCTCTTGGCAACTGACTTATCTGAGTCTTAAGGATAGCATTCCATGCTTTCAATTGCCTTGTATCAGTAGTAGCACTATTTTGAGCATTGAATATGATGGGCTTAAGGTCTTTTAAGCTATGTTTTGATGATCTAACAAACTTTCTGTATGGAACCAGATAAAAGACCAAGAACGATAGTAACAAGGGGAAGAATAGAGTTAGGGGGAACATATGGGAAACATGTGTAAGTAAGAGCATAAAGTCAGGGGGAACTTGTGGTCTCCTGTTATTCAATCTGGTTCTCTGAACTCTAACTCCTCGTTTTTAATGCTATGTTTGTCGTCATCAAAAGGGGGAAATTGATAGGTTTTCAATATCGTTGCCTTGTGTTTTGATGATCTAACAAACTTAATGTCAAGAACAAATAGGGAACCTGACTCACTTGGATTACACTGCATCTAACGGATTCCAGCCAAATGTGAACTTGCTACAGCTTCAGGAGGTAGGAACCCAGACAAGGACCTGATACTCTTGTGGGTTCCTCACGGCAGTACAAAGTCAATTGGACACAGCTGGAAACGAAGATTCTGCCGCATTGCAATGTTTCCAGCGCCTGCTCATTCTCTGATCAACCAAAGTACAATGATTCAAGTTACTCTCTGGGCAGTGTGCACAAGTACCAGATCAGGAACTTGATCCCTTGGTGCTCCCCTGACAGAAGTACAAGTCAACTATACAGCTGGAACGCAACTGCAGAAAGTGACTGTCCGCAACTGTACAAAGAGGAACACAACAGGGACCTGATCCCTTAGGGTTCTCTGACAGAAGTAAGAGTCAACTATACATTTGGAACACAACTGAGTGACTGTCCGCAACTATACAAAGAGGAACATAACAGGGGCCTGGTCCCTTAGGGTTCTCTGACAGAAGTACAAAGTCAACTACAGCTGGAAAGCAACTGCAGAAAGTGACTGCCTGCAACAGTGCAACAGACAGAGCAACAGACAGTGCAGCAGTCACTTTCTATTAAGATTGGACATCACCATTGTGAATTGACATCACTAAGGTAATGTCTTGTGTAGTATAAACCTCATGCAAGGGACAAGATTCTAGTTCAACACTTGCAAATACAAAAAACGAAAATTCTCTCAAGTGCTCAAGAACCTCTCTCAAGAACAAAGCTGCTTCAACCTGAAGGACCTGATCCAAGATCGAAGATATCTTAGGTCCTTAGGTTGTTGAGTCTTTGTTATGTGTTCTTCATTGTAATTCCTAGTTTGCTTCCTTAGAAGCGTTGTCTTAGGAACAAACCAAAATTCGTAAACTTCTGAGTTTATGTTGTGACTAGGGATAGTCATAAGCAAACGCCTTTGTAACCGTAGTGTGACAAAGTGGCTTGTGGTGGAAACATCACAAGTTAGTCAAAGCCTTTGTAACCGTAGTGTGACAAAGTGGCTTGTGGTGGAAATACCACAAGTTAGTCAAATTCTTTGTAACTAGGATAGTTATAGAGTGGCTTGTGATGAGAGCATCACAAGTTAGTTGAAGTCTTTGCAATAGGGTTATTGTAAAGTGGCTTGTAACAGGGAGTTTGCAAGTTAGTGATGTTAAAAGCCTACCGGTGTAGGTCGTGAGTTTTTGATCCCCTTGTGTGGGATTTTTCCACGTAAAAATCCCCGGTCTTATTTACATACAGCTTTACTAGCATTCACAGCAGAACCCCACAAAGGACCAGATACTCTACTACTTGGTGGATTAACACAAAATTAGCACTGTACCAAACTGATATAGGACCAGATCCCTATACAGTTTGATTCATCAGTATTTTCAGAAGAAACACATAGAGAACCCATTTCTCTATACAGTCTGGTTGATGCACAGTTTCTAACAAGTGGTATCAGAGCAGGTTCTTCCTATCAGGCTAACACCTAGGAAGGATCCTCATGGCTGCTCCACCAACTCTTGAAAGGAGAAACCAAAGAAGGAAAAGTACCGGGGTACTTAAAGCTGCTAACAATGATTCGAGTGAGGAAGACAGTTACATGGCTTACTTAACCAAAAGGTTTCAGAAGATGGTCAGAAGAAATAGAGAAGTGCTGGAAAGGGACAGCTCTAACAAATCAAAGAATATTGATCTTTGTTACAAGTGCGGAAAGGCTGGACACTTCATGAAAAATTGTCCTCTCTTGAAGCAAGAATTCTCCAAGAACTCTAAGAGAAAAAGATCAGCTGAATATGACTCAACCTTTGCGTTAATGGCACAACTAGATGATGATGAAGACGATGACAACAAAGAGGTAAATTTCAGGGATGTTCAGAGAAATCTGAAATCCTATTCTCCAAGAAAACTCATGTCTTTAGCTAATGTATTAATCAATGCTTTTCATAGTTTTGTGGAGGATAGGGATTCTTTGACCTTAGAGTTAGCAAAATCTGAACAAACTAGAGTCGGCTTAGTGGCTGTAGTTTCTGACCATAAGAAAACCATTGAAATTTTCAGAAAAGAAAAGAATGATCTTTTGGCAGAAATTACAGACCTAAGGGAAACAATAGTGAAACCTTGGACTAAGTTAAAACCTGAAAAATCTGGAAAAGGAAAGGAGATAGCCAGTGAGGAACACATTAGGCTTGAAAATAATTTGAAAGCTGCTAGAACTAGGATATGTGGTGAATTCGAGAAAAATAAGCAGCTTCAAGCTGAGTTGAAGAGAGTAAAAAGTGATCTTGAGAAATCTCTCAAGTGGACCTGGTCCTCAGATGCTGTCAGTGCCATGTACTTCAACAATAGTGGAAAGAGGCAGGGAATCGCGTTCCAAAAGGAGAAAACTCCTTACAACCCTCATAGCAAGTACGTCACAGTTCCTGATAACTGGCTGCGTACCCACTATGGGAACAATGGG